AAGGTGCAATGACACGAAACGGCCAATTCAATATTAAAGCCAAAAAGCGATACGTACGATAGATGAGCCGCAAAGCCTTAAAGAAACACCACACAACATAAACGTTTCTCATTCTATCTCTTGGACTTTTTTTTTCTTTCGGTCTGACTCTCTATCTCTATTTCGACTTGGAGCATATTTTTCGTGCGAGTTCTCGTCGTTTCTTGCTATATCGACGACAACGATTCACACAGTGTGGCAAAAATCGACCGAAGAAATTCAGCAAACGTCAGTCTCTCTCTGTTTTACAAATTCAAATATTACACAGTTGAACGCATGTATTTGTTTGGTTGGCGATTTTTCTTCGTTTCGATGACGTCGTTTTGTTGTTGACTTCTTCTTTGTGTACGGTTTGCCGTGTGCTTTACAACACTACTTTTTTTTATATTCTCAAACAGTTTTATTCGGTTGGTTTTGTTCGTCGTCTTTTCTCCGGCTTAATAACATTCAAGAGGCTCCTCTTGAAGTGTGTGAACGCGCGAACGAATATACGATTTTTGTTGTATCGAACGTAGCAGCGAAACGTTTTGTGTATCGGTAATTCTGATACACAAGTATTAAGTTCTTTGGTCTTTCTTTGTTCGATTAGTGTGAGTGTATGTGTGTAGCGAGAGAGATCACACAAACTCCATTGTTCATGTTTGCAAGAAGTCAAGACACAACCGAATCGAATGTGTGATGGATACAAATAAGAAAATGTTGAAAGCGCGAACGATAATGAAAAAAACAACAACAACACACATGAACGAAGAAAGAAGTTTTTAGTTGAATAAAAAGAGCGAAGACGACGACGACGACGACGGCACCGTGTAGCAATGATGCAAAGTGGATAGAGAGAAAAAAAAGGTAACATTCGACACACATATACGGTAGAATGTAATTACGTGTTCATATGTATGCGCGCCCATGTTGGACTCTCTCATGCTGCCATTTCCATTGCTTCATGGAAAATATAGCATTTTTATATGTGCCACAGGTAAAATTACATTTTCAAAATACACACACTCAACTCGCTCATTTTATAGCCGCTCTGCGTTACTGCTGCCACTGACGCTGCTGTTGTTGGTCTTCTTTTTTTTGTTGTTTTATTCCTTTTAGGCAACCACACTACCTCACTTGATCACTTCAATCAAACAAGGAATACCACATAGTCTTTGTGTATGAAACGCACGATGTAGTTGCAATGCAGTTTAAACTCTGAACAACAACATCCTGCATGCCAAGTTGAGTTTGTTGGCGAGATAGAGATGAAGAGAGAAAAAAATATACAACAGCAACAACATAAGCATACTAACGAATTTTATGAAACGAAACATCGTCGCCATACTAACCACATTTGATTTTCAGCTTCTGCTCTTTATTTTTTTGCTCTCTCCAGTTCATGCTCGCTATCTCTCTCACTGCCTCTATCTGAAAGAGAGTCGCTTTTAAGTCAAGTTTAACTCATTGAGAAACCAAAATGCAACACTTTACTATCCACACTGAATTGCGGCAAAGGAATGTGTGCGCACTGCTGTTGTTGCTGTTGCATTCGTTAATCGACACTCACTCACAATATCTTTCGAAAGTATTTTTTTAGCTCTCAATTAAAAATCCAACTCATAACTGGATTACTTCTCAACTAATTATAATCAGATCGTTGGAGATATTCTTGGTCATAAAACTTTGCCCGTTTTGAGTGAGAGAAAAAGAGAGACTTTTTTTCAACTTTTTTTTCTCTCTTCCTTTCAACGATCATCATTACTACAACTTCTTCATAATAACAATAATAACGATAATCCGTGTACGTTAGTTTTTTTTCGTGTTCAGTCGTTCTTTAAGGCAAATATCATTTATGCATGTATAGTATAGCGATTTTCCCGTTGGAGTTGTTCGGCCAGTTTTGTTATCAAAACGCCATTTCATCATATTTTGCGCACATGCACGATGTTGGCATCCATAATGACATTCTCACACATCGATTCCAACAGCATAAATGTTTTGGTTGTTTTTCATTTCGTACGGCAAAAGAATGAAATTATATTGAACACTCATATTGCAATTGACAGCGACTTGCGTCATTGAAACAGACATTCACCGTGGGTCCGGTGAATTTTTGTGGAGAATCAAACAATTTTAACGATTTTTTTTGAAATGGAAGAAAATAGAAAGAGTTTAACCGAATTTTTGGGAATTTTAGCAGAATTATTTGGTATTTTGGCGAAATTTTGCACAAAAGAAAATGTAAATGCAGCCATCTTAATTTGAATTTCAATCGGATCTCTCAGTCCCTCCAAATAAATGCCCTTCTTTCTTCTTTGCGTATAATTTTAACTGGGATCCAACAATTCCAATTTCAATGTTGAATCATGTTTTAATTGAGCCAAAAGAGATTGAAGAAGAAACCAAAAATAAAAAAAATGAACGAAATTCAAATAAACATCGCGAACATATTTCAAAAATCAATAAATATGAATGGTTACGTTTGTTTGGTTTTAACATCAAAACACTTAAATTCGGTATGTGAACAGCTTCAAAATGTTCGATCATGCTTCGGAGATTGTATGCGCAATTAAATAAATCAAAATCCACATTTTCGATTGTAAATATAGCATACGGCCGTACGGAATGATGATGGAGAAAGAGACAGAGTGAAAGACAAAGAATTTGAGTGTGTGGTTCGAAGAATAAAATGTTGACCACGTTGTTGATATTTTTGGTGCATACACATTAAACAATATATATAATGTAGTCTATTTGAATGGGCATGCAATATGTTTGCTGGTGTATTTTGTTTTGTACATTTGATTTTGTTCGTTCGGCCAAAGAATGTTGCACAAAAATAAATATATATATCTGTATAAATAATACTGATCACAGAGAGTAAAATGGTAATTGCACTTTGGATTGTGTGGCATCGCACACATGCAATGAAGCGCAATCCGGCATTAATATGGCTAGGCCTATAATAAACGTAGTTCAAGCTGTTCATTGCCACAAATGAGCCGACCGAATGCGAGCGAGTGAGAGAAGGAGTTAACTGAAATGTGTGCATACGATTGGAATGGTTGGTCTATTCAGACTTGAGAAATTCGAAATCAAAGATACAATATCCAAGAAGAAAATAAACTATAATAATTGCAATGCGACTGACGACGACCAACCGGGTAAAATGAAGCATGCAAGGGAAAAATGAGCAACAACAACACAAAAACAATAAAAACCTCACATGCCAAACAGGTAATTTTTATTTTAAAAAGAAAAAGACACACACACACAATCGACAGCAGCAACAACAACAACAACAGCAACATAAAAACGAATATTTTCTGTTGTTATTATGATTTGAGAGATGGCGATGTCGAGAGAGCAAAGCGAGTATGTGTAATATGTTGCCCGTGTGGCGGTCGGACCACGGTTGCGGTTGGCTATCATCCGTCATCTTCGCGTCAACCATAATATTCAAGCCTCGATCGTATCCAACCGTTTCTGGTTTTGCATGTAAAATAATAAATTCTTAGGCGATTTTGTTTGCTATTATCGTGCCAATGATTTTAGAAAAAAAAACATTCCATTTTCGTACGCATGCAATATCGCGCGCCGCTACAAAGTCAAAATGAGATGCTGCATTTATTATGCAGCCATCAATAACGATAAATTTAGTACTTGCAGAAAGCAACAGAGAAAAAAAGACTAACAGCAACAGACACACCAAGTCTATTTTACTTTAGTATTCGATAATGCTATGTATATTTTCTGCTTCTCTGCTTCGATTTTATCCCTTCAGTTTTGCTGTCTTTCGAATGCTATTGAACCGTCGTTCGCAGTCTCATATCAGCGCGATATTTCTGACTTGAAATTTCTTCGGATTTTTTTGCGCTTATTCGGTTTGAATTCATCTTTCATTCATTTTCGGTTTATGGCTTTCCATTATCTCTATTTCGTTGTCTATTAGATGGATGCATCGAACAGAGGGTGTGAGAGAGAGCGAGAGCAAAGCAGAGAGTGAGCCATGGGAGATATCAATCATGGTCTCGACGATCATCGTTAATGCTTCAATTATTTGATGTAATATGTTAGTAAGAAATCTTTTTAATCTGACCAATCAGCTTGCTGATGGCTGCCAGTTTGCAGTCTCTTTGGAATGCATTTTACGAGCGCGATACGATGCGCTTAAATGGCGAATTGAATTTTGTGGTGGCCTTTAAAATGCATTGCACGATTATGTGCGATGTGCTATTTATTGAGTTTTATTGATTGTGATCAACGATTTCGCAATAAACCAATGAGCATCGACGAAGGCAACAATAAAAAAAATTGGTAAGATTATGCTCATCTCGTGTACACATAAACGGTTATCAACAAATGACTAACACCTCCACCAACCACGACGATCATGATTTTTTGTTCCGATCGAAATCACTTCTCGTTCGCTAGTTTTTTTTTTTTCATACTGAAAATGTTTATCGAATCGAATGGGATTATTGAAATCTCATTGAATGAACAAATAGATTGATGTGATTGATGTCTATTTTCGGAATGTGGTCATTTCAAATTGGCAATGTATACACGTAAATTGGCTCAAGTTCAAAATCGATCAGCCGAAAATACGGTGAATCAAAACTTAAACACACACACTCACATTTCAATCAGACAGTTGGCAGAAACGAAGAGAAAACGAATCAAATGGATAGGAAGTTCTAGTAATAATAATCAAACACCTGCCACATATAACTACTACTTGTTTTTGATTGTTATGCCGTTTTTTCCTCCTCTAAATGGCAATGGTCGTCTCAATAATTACGACTCAATTTCTCTATGCTTCTTTCAAAACATTGAAAGAGAGAAAAAAATAAATAAATGCCATTTTCACTTTGAAGCTCTGGAGGCATCGTGTGAAGTGAGAATCACTCGTTTGCTGAAGCGAAACGTGTGTGCTTCCCATTCCAAAGCCTCAAAATATCAATTATCTGTGTACATACCTATGATAATTTTTTATTGTTGATATTATTATGAATCCTTTTGTCTTTGTATTTTTATTTTGCGCTCCGCCAAAACAAAACCATGTATTCCAATCGCCGGCGTTGATTATGTTCAACTTTAAAAATCCGTCAATACTTTTGAATTTGTTTCCAACTTATTTTTCTTTCAATTCTCTTTTCACTATTTTCCCTTTATGTCAACACAATAATTCCATTGGATTAAATTGTTTTCCGTTAAAATCTCAGTAACATTTCACAAAAAAAATTGTATATATATGTAACAAAAAAAAAACAGTGTGCACGTAAAACACTACGGTTTGTCACTTGTTTGTGTTTTTTGTAATTTCTGTCACTTTTTTCGGCAAGAAGAGTTTGCAATATGATCGCTTCGAATTCGATCTGGTTGAAAACACAAAAATTCTAGTTTGAATAATGTGTATTTTCCCTTCGGTTTCAATCGAATTTCTTTTGTTGTTGTCGCCATTCGATCCCCTTCGCTTTTTTCCGTTCTTTAATTACACATATTCAACAAATTCGACAATCGAAATAAAATGCACTAGTTTGAAACAACAGAAATAATACCAAACCATAAATAAATGCAATGAACACCGGTTTCCAATTGTATGTGTTTGTATTATTCTTCGTTTAAATTTATTTTTCTACCTTGAATGTAAACGTATTCCTTTCTCGACTGACTAAAATTTTTTGTTTTTTTTTTTCGTCGTCTTTTTGCTTGTCTTACACTTTTTTCCCTTTTTTGTCTGTTTGAATGTATGTTTTATTCGCTGTCTCACGTTTACAATCATTCAATTCAATAAATTTAATCACACAAAAATGACAATTTCGGTAAAAATTGTATCGAATGTTTTTGTTTCTTTGTGAATGGGCCAAAAATTGAAGCAAACACCGAAAATATGCAATGTAAAAATCACGTGCACGAAATATCGCCAACGAAACGAGTTTTTGAAAAAACGCGACACGTTAAAATGAACCAATATATATATATATATATTATGTGTGTGTGGTACACGTTCCCTCATCGACGGCTCAATTTCGACTGAATGGGAGAGCGTGCGAGAGACATGCTTTCATTCAACATAATCAAGTGCAACGAGAGCAATTCAAAACATACGACGCACGTATGGCGAAGCGGAGCGAAAAGAAGACGCGCACGCCATGAATGAATTGTGCACGAGGAAGGGAGAAATGCGAGAAGAGCAAAAGAGATGGAGGGTCGGTGCGGTGGCACCATGTATGGTTTTGCATGCAATGTGTGTGTACGGCAGAAATATAATTCCCGACCGTTGTACGATCAAAAACCCTCTGCTGTTTATATGATAATGTGATTAAATTTGTTGGACGTTGATTCGGTGCTGCAGCAGGACAAGCGAGCCAACAGCGGAGCTGCATAGTAGTGCGTGTGTTTTGTTTGTCGTTGTTTTTTTCGGTTCTGCCGGCCGCTCTGTTTATTTGCTATGAAAACATGCTGCACAATGGAATTGTTGCTACATTTCGTGTGCTGAACATATTTGGTTTGTGGTGCTATATTGTGTGTGCTCAAATAATTTTCGATATTTGGTTTATTATATCGTTTGCCGGTTGCATTGTATACCAGACAAAATACATGACACTGGCAAATAATTATGTGACGGCAACACAAAGGCTATCACACGATTTAGTCGTCGGATCGGTTCGACGAAGAAAAAAGAGACAAAAAAAATGATTTATTTATTCGACTTCGATTTGATGTTTTTTTTCTGCTTTGTTCTTTGAAATAAAGACTTTAATTCACTCGCTTTCGTTTTTGAATATTCTTCGGATTTCTTACATCTTAATTCTGTCATTTTTAATTGTACTTCGAATGTAATTCAGCGTAAACGACCACTCCAGATCTGTTATGTACTGTGAGTTGTACACACAATTCAAATTGTTAATCCTCTTATATTAAATTCAAGTTATGCTGTCCAATGTACTTCATATCGAAACCGATTTTATTTTCCACGCAAATGTTTCGTTAGACAGTCGTTCTTATTAAGCAGCAAAGTCTGTCAAATTGGATGTGTGCATGATAATAACCGGATTTTCATTGCAATTATAAACATTGGCTGTAAATACCATACCATTGAAAACGATCGACAAAACAACTCCAATCAAATCAAAACCAAACGCCGAACAACACCGGTTATCAGTTCTTAGAATAGAAACTTGACCATCAACCAATGTGCAGAAAAATTGACACTCACGTACCATATGCGCAACATCGCTTGCTATATCGCGCTTATCTTTTTCTACAGGTCATTTGATTTTATCTATCTTATGATTACATTCATCAAATTGATTTTTATGATGGAATGCAGTGCAGCCCAGTGTGTGTACTGTGTATGCTCTTGACACATTGTCCATCATCGTCGCTCATCTGGTGAGAGATTTTAAATATCCAATCATAGAGAGGTGTGTTTTTCTTCACTTCATTTCGATGTTTTCTCCGTTTTATTTAATGATTTCTGCACTGAATCAAGCTTAATTTAATGTTTACCTTTTATTTTATTTTTGCATTGCTCTCGTCGTTAGCTTACTTTGCTTTCATTGTGTGATTTCTAGCGGCACGTCGTTTGAATTGAAATAAACAAAAACTTGGCATTTACTTCGCGAAAAATTATTATGATTTCATTTATTTACAGCATATTTTGCTTTCAAATTTACATATCAAAATGCGAATAATTTTTTTTTAGAACAATCTATTTGGAATCTGTTGCTTTTTTGTTTAAGTGTTTCTCTGTGATGATCGATACTTTTCTTCCTTATCCTGTTATTGGCGGTCGATTCGCTTCAATTTAACCGGTTATGCCAGCAACTGTGATCTATATTGGGGAATTAAATAAAAGAATATTCATCAAAAATTGAAACTGAACAATCGACTGATTGGATAGCAATTGAGACGTGATTTCGTACCTTTGTATAACTGTGAATGTAATGATGTTTTTGAATGACATTTCAAAGTCGTCTTTTTCTCTTATGGTGGATTGTCATCGATCTGGAAGAAAGGAAAATTGACATACAAGTTTATTTTTTATCCCGTGATTAATGAACCTTTTCGATGAATATACCATTTAAAATACTCCAATTGTATCGCAACAGAATCGCCGAAAGTTGTCAGTAATGATTAAACCAATTTTTGCACAGGCACAGTATGTCACCTGTTTGTCATGTGATCAGTTTTTGTTGTTTTATGTTCCGTTCAATGTGATGATGATTATGGCCGACTTCGTCGCGTGCATTTGGTACTATGAGAATAAAATGTGTATGCATTCGAATCATCTCTTTTTCTTCCACATATGCAGCAAGTGAATTTTCTTCCAAATAGCTCCGTATGTTTGTTAAGACTATCAGCGCTTTCAAATAGTTTTTTGCAAACGCAACAAATATTTTTTTCTTTGTGTTTTTTTTTATGAGTGTCAAAATAATTAAAGTTTGGGAATTCACCATGGCAAACTAAACATTCATACATGGGAAGGTTTTCTGGGGTATTTGCTGTTTGATTCGAAGTAAAAGGCTGTGCCTTAGAATGAAAAACTTCACATTTAACCGATCGGCTTGAGTTGGGTATGTATTCTGGGATAGTTGGTAGTTGTTTCGACGTAAAAGGCTGTTGTTTAGGAAATGAAGGCTGTGCATTAGAATGGCCGGCTTCACATTTAATCGATTGGCTCGAGTTGGGATTGTATTCTGGGATATTTGGTGTTTGAATCGACGTAGAAGGTTGTGGTTCATTCGATGAAGTTGAACTATCGGCCGAAACGGCAATCTGAATTTTTGCACCTTTCCATTTCCTTTTATAACTGGCTTCCACACCTTGTAATAATTTTTTGTCTTCTTCTTGCGACATTTTCACGAAAAATTGATACGAAAAATAAATAGAATATAAAACAACGGTATCGATCAGACGTGCTCACTATATTTCACTCTTTACTTGGTTATGTTCAATTCTGTTATGGCGCGAATAAATTAATTGACGTCGAAACGAATCCATTTTGTATATAGCCGAATGTAGCGCCATTATTTCAACTTCTGTCCATTTCATTAAATACGCCATTTAGAAGTTTTCACAATTTTTTTTTTTTTTTTCAAATAAACAAAAACTTGGGATTTGTTTCGTGAAAAATTATTATAATTTCATTTATTTACAGCATATTTTGCTTTCAATTTTACATATCAAAATGCGAATAAAATTTTGTATATCAATCTATTTGGAATCTGTTGCTTCTTTGTTCGAATGTTTCTCCGTAATGATCGATGCTTTTTATCTAGTTATTGGTACTCGATTCGCTTCAATTTAACCGGTTATGCCAGCAACTGTGATCTATATTGAGGAATTAAATAAAAGAATATTCATCAAAAATTGAAACTGAACAATCGACTTATTGGATAGCAATTGAGACGTGATTTCGTACCTTTGTATAACTGTGAATGTTTCTGAATGACATTTAAGAGTCGTCCCTTTTTCTCATTCCGGTGGATTGTCATCGATCTGGAAAATTGACATACAAGTTTATTTTTCATCGCATGATTAATGAATTTTTAAATAAATATACCATTTAAAATACTCCAATTGTATCGCAACAGAATCGCCGAAAGTTGTCAGTAATGATTAAACCAATTTTTGCACAGGCACAGTTTGTCACCTGTTTGTCATGTGTTCAGTTTTTGTTGTTTTATGTTCTGTTCATTGTGATGATGATGATGATGACGAAATCTGACTTTGTCGCTTGCATTGGTAACTATGAGAACAAAATTTGTTTGCATCCGATTCATCTCCTTTTCTTTCACACATGCAGCATTTCAATTCTCTTGCAAACTGCTCAGTATGTTCGTTAAGACTATCAACGTCAATAAACTGTTGTCGGCAAACGCAACACATCTTTTTATTTTCGCATTCCGTTTGATGACTTTTAAGATTTTTGAGGTTTGCGAATTTTGAATGGCAAACTTCACATTTAATCGATCGGCTCGAGTTGGGATTGTGTTCTGGGATATTTGGTGTTTGATTCGATGTAGAAGGCTGTGGTTCAGGCAATGAAGGCTGTGGTTCAGGCAATGAAGGCTGTGGTTCAGGCAATGAATGCTGTAACTTAGATTGGCAGGCTTCACATCTAATCCATCGTTCAGGAGATGAAGGCTGTGTTTCAGAAGATGAAGGTTCTTCAAGAGATGAAGCCGTACTTGAATCAGTTATTGATGGAGTTTCACTATCGTCCATAACGGCGAGTACTTTTTCCAACATATATATAAATCCACGTTTATTTGATGCACGTTTCGATTTCCCTTTAACATTGGCTTCCACATCTTCTAATAATTTGTTGTCCTCTTCTTGCGACATTTTCACCACAAATTGATACGAAAAATAAATAAAATACAAAACAACGGTATCGATGAGACGTGCTCACTATATTTCACTCTTTACTTGGTTATGTTCAATTCTGTCATGGCGCGAATAAATTGACGTTGAAACGAATTCGTTTTGTATGTAGCCGTATGTAGCGCCATTATTTCAACTTCTGTCCATTTCATTACGCCCCTTAAAAGTTTTCACATTTTTTTTTTTTTTTCAAATAAACAAAAACTTGGGATTTGTTTCGTGAAAAACTATTATGATTTCATTTATTTGCAGCATACTTTGTTTTCAATTTTACATATCAAAATGTGAATAAAAAATTGTATATCAATCTATTTGGAATCTTTTGCTTCTTTGTTCGAATGTTTCTCCGTGATGATCGATGCTTTTTATCTAGTTATTGGTACTCGATTCGCTTCAATTTAACCGGTTATGCCAGCAATTGTGATCTATATTGAGGAATTTAATAAAAGAATATTCATCAAAAATTGAATCTGAACAATCAACTGATTGGATAGCAATTGAGACGTGATTTCGTACCTTTGTATAACTGTGAATGTAATGATGTTTTTGAATGACATTTCAAAGTCGTCTTTTTCTCTTATGGTGGATTGTCATCGATCTGGAAGAAAGGAAAATTGACATACAAGTTTATTTTTTATCCCGTGATTATACCATTTGAAGAACTCCAATTGTATCGCAATAGAATCGCCGAATAGTTGTTAGTAATGATTAAACCAATCTTGCACGGGCGAAATTTGTCACCTGTTTGTCATGTGTTCAGTTTTTGTTCTTATATGTGCCGTTCAATGTAATGATAGTCGCCTTAGTCGCTTGCAGTTGCCAATATGAGAATAAAATTTGTATGCATCCGAATCATCTCTTTTTCTTCTACATATGCAGCAAGTGAATTTTTTTCCAAATAGCTCCATATGTTTGTTAAGACTATCCGCGCTTTCAAATAGTTTTTTGCAAACGCAACAAATCTTTTTATTTTCAAAGACCCTTTGATGATTTTTAAGATATTGAAGGTTTGAATATGAATAATGGCATACTTCACATTCAATCGATTGGCTCGGGTTGGGATTTAAAACATTTTCTGGACTATTTGGTACTTGATTCGAAGTAGAGAGCTGTGCCTCAGAAGATGAAGCCGTACTTGAAGAAGATGTTGTGGAATTCGAAGTATCGTCCAAAGCGGCAATCATTTCATCCAAAGCAGGAATAAGTACATCTTTAATTGATGAACCATTCAATTTCTGTTTTAATGCTTCCAAATCTTCTAATAATTTTTTGTCCTCTTCTTGCGACATTTTCACGAAAAATTGATACGAAAAATAAAAAGCAAAACAAAACAACGGTATTGATCAGACGCGCTCACTATATCTCACACTTAACTTGATTATGTTCAGTTCCGCGTTCTTCACTTTATCACTGTTTGCTTGGTTATGTTTCGGCGTGAAAAAAATCAAATACATGCATTCAGTGAGAGAATTGATGACATTTTGAATTCGCCTCCATTACAAATGAAAAACTAATTGATTAGCAAAAGAAAACCGAAGCGAATTTGGTTCATCAAAGAGTATTGCATTCGTGTGATCGGTAGATTTCACATTTTATTTTTTGTTCAGAAATTAAAAATAGGGAAAAAATGTCAGTATTTGGTGAAGAGTAAACATTTTTTTCCGATAGTAAATTTGTACATTTGATTTTCAGTGTCATGAACTCTATTCAAAATCATAATAACCCTTTCGATGGAAATTTCTATGTGCCATTTTTTTTTTGTGGCGGAATTTAAATGAATGTTTAATTTGCAACGAAATGTGTATTTGTGTTTGTTTTACTTTTCAAGCAATTGTTGTGCACGTAGACATGTCTTATGTATTTAAAAATGCGATCCACATAGCGATCTCGTGGTACAAGTGTATGGCAATAAAAAATACGAAACTTGTTTTAAAAAAACGACGACGCACTGTTTACGGTATCGTTTGTTTATTTGTTTTTCAAGTTTAAGAAAATGGCAAATCTTGTACCGATGATGGATTCTTTTTTCACCATCGTCAAATGATGATTTTGCACAGCATCAAGTGATGCACTTTGTATTCACTTTTCATAGGTCGACGAAGTGTGTATGTGTACCGTCATCACACGCCAACTTTTCCCATCTCGTCGTTCATTCTTTCTTTCAAATGCTCCGAAGAATTTATAATTATTTAATTTATTCGTGTTAATGGTTTTTCTAACTTCAACAAAATCGTTGGTAGAGTCTCGAGAGAAAATCAAAAGAAAAATAAACATTTTTTTCTCCACCAAGCCGACTGACTTTTTTCAGCGTCGTGCAATTGAAAAATCAACCATGTTATGGAATTTAACTGTGTTGTTCTCAAATTCAGACAGATAAATTATTAACTGAAGTAGAAAAATATGTGGTTAGATGTTTTTCGTTTTTATTTTTATTATCTGCGGCTTGGATGATTGAACTGAATTCTCTTGTCAACAATTTCATGCGATGGGTTACAATTTGATAGCCACTTTAGTTTAATTCAGTTTTTTTTCCACTCGAGAGTTCACTGCTCAGTGTCTTAGGTGAATGTAAACATTTTTTTAATTTCATTAGCTTCCTAAGCCATCGCATTAATTAGGGCCACTGACATTAAAATTAAAACATTCGGACGAGAATTAACATCAATTTCAATCATTGTGTCACATCCACACACATTTTCTCTCACCATAATGTTGTTATCATGAAATAAAAACGATGCAAATATGTTATGCCGTAGCGACTCCACACAGCACATATACAATTATAAATGTGTAAACGCATTCCAAAATGACGACATGATTGTTATAATTAGAATAACTGTTATTAATCAAGTTGCTTGCATTTCCATCTTCGTGATGTGTTACAATAGGTTCGATACAATGACCGCACCAATTCAAGTTTCTACACACGACCGTCACACATAGAAGCGAGTGATTTCCAGTGAAATATTTCCATTTTCTATCCGATTTTTATGCACTTGCAATATATTCATTGCATTGATTCTGCATTGCAGAACGATGGAACAGAAAAAGTGCATTCATTCCACATTTTAGTAAATACGTTTTTAAATACTGTATTGTTTTTTTTTTCTCCTAGCTAACTTTTTTTCAATAACGGTTCTTGTACATTGCTGGAAAATTATCCGTAAAACAACAAACAAAGGTCAATCCATTTGAAATTCTGCTATCCCAACGGAAATAAATTGAATTATTTGTTAAAATAATTTTTGATAGGTATTCATTTGTGCCTCCGGCGCTTTATTTTGTTGCATTTGACACTATTTAATAATATGTGTTTATATAATATAAAAATACACAAGAATTGAGAAAATCATAATAAAATTAAAATTTATTGAAAACAATGTTGTATTCAATATTCCCGTCACCAAATAATGGGAGAATAGAAAATCGCTTTTGTCTACGACCAAACAAATAACTCTTTTTCAGCTTTTTCATCAAATCAATTAGAAACAGCAATTGGTTTAATTTAACTAAACTTACATACACATTTTGGGGATTTTGCTTGCGCTATTAATTTTCGATTTACTGAAATACCAAATTCATTTCAGAATTTTGGAAAATGTTTAATGATAATTTTCATAAAGTTCGAGTTTATTGTGTATCTGATCATGACAACAACTTAAAAACGTGTAAAATTTACACTATTAAGAATTATAAAAGTTCGAGAGTTTCTTGTGTGATTTCAAAAGGATCTTTTCATATACCTCCTTTTTTGAGAGAAATCTAAGAGTTTTGAACTGAGACGATTTATATACATTATTGACTTTGTGAATTTTCATCTTGTCAATGAACTCGAATTACATGCGTCGTAGCCCAATTGAAATTACATTTGGCCAAAAAAATCTGAAAAATACATTTTCCATTTAAAAATTGGTAGAAAACTAAATTTTCAAAATCTTTTGGTTTATAATTCAAACAAGCCGATTTGGATAAAAAAAATGAAATGAATAAATACAGTAGAGAAATGAATTTAATTTGTTTTGGGATTTTTTTAAATTAACAATGAAAATGGAAAATGGCCATGTGAATTGTATTTCTATTTACAATAATAAAATTGATTAAAAAAATTAGTTTCAATATGAATAATTATATAAATATAATAATAATAAATATTATTATTATAAATATAAAAATAATAAGTAATACATAAATATTTCAATTGTTGTGTCAGAATGTTTTTTTTCTAATACAGTTATTTTAATGAGAAATTGCAAACTGCACGAATTGCACGTTTCTACAAAAAAATGGTTCTTTTAGTACACCTAGTAGTTAAATGTTAATTGAAAAAGTTCTTGGCATATGTGATTACATATTTTGATAGATAGCGGTCATGCACCGTCATGGTGTAGAAAGTTTCGATGGAAAGTATATGATAAAATCTCCTAGATCAAAAAATGTAATTTTGGTTATAATGAGATACCGGTTACTGCATTTTTCCAAAGAAATGTGATGCTTGCATGAGAGTAGATCTCTATAAGATGTGCGATCTCACATCAAATATTGACAAATTGAGTTTTTTTTGCATTTTATAGCATTTTTAGCTAATAAAATGTCAGCTTAGATTTTAATACTTAATTTCTATGCTAGATAACAAAAATTGCCAATGATATTTGATATAATGTAAATCCCATATTTATGGGTCGTAAAATGGCCGTAATAAATGTCATTCATCTTGTGTAAGAAAAAAACTATACCACAGAATGTCTTTAACACATTTCAAGACTGTTTCATCAAAATAACCGTTACTTGTAAAAAAAAACACTCAACATGTCTTCTGCAAAAATACACATTTACTTTTACATCTCTGACGCGTCTAATCACATCAACACCTGCTGGCTGCAGCCATGTCTCACTTTTCTCTCTCTTCACCTTGCTTGTTAGCATTGCATGTTCAATGTCGCAATAACGATGCAAGTCAGCGCATTTGCATTTCTAATGAAGACCCAAGAAAACCGCTCACCGTCTTTTCACACAGTTGATGCTAAACGAACAGAATTTCAAAAGGGAATTTTTAATTACAGTAATTGTTCAATGAGTAAGAGTGAGGAAAATTTTTAAGTCTACTTTTAAATGCGTCATTCTTTTTTTTATTCCACAAAATCTAGAGACTGATATGATTCAGTAAATATATTTCCAAAAATTTATTGTTTTTACTATTACTATTTTAACAATTTCTTTAATAATTATTTAAACCACCGATTTCAATTGAAAATATGAAGCTTCTTGATATGAATTCCAACATATTTATACAATTTTTGGCCACTTTTCATCAAAAAGTCATGTATGTATATTGATAATGCTTAAATAAATGGTTTAACCTTGAAATATTTCTCCAAATTTTTGCAAATAACATGATTGACATTTTCAAGTTGTTTTGTTTTGTTT